ACCAATCCTGTCTGTGTTCTGTGCACATCCAAAATTCCTGCTGAATGACTCGCCCTGGGAGCGAGTTACCAGTGACTTCTATGACCTGCGAGTTACCAGCCAAATTTTTTTTTGCTTGGGGCAGCAAAAAACCTAGAGCCGGCCCTGTCACTGATACAGTATTTCTGTTTTTGAAAGCTCAAACAGAAGCTCGGGGCTCAGTGCAGGAATGGCTAGGTGAAATTCTCTGACTTGTGTTATACAGGAAGGGAGGCTAGATGACCGTAATGGTCCCTTCTGGCTTAAAATCTTTAGGGTACGTCTTCACTACCCGCCGTATCGGTGGGTAGCAATCGATTTATCCGGGATCGATATATCGCATCCCGTTAAGACACGATATATCAATCTCCGAAAGCGCTCACTGTTGACTCCGGAACTCCACCAGAGCGAGCGGCGGTAGCGCAGTCGACAGGGGAGTCGCGGCCATCGATTCCGCGCCATCTGGACCCCAGGTAATTCGATCCAAGATACTTTGACTTCAGCGCGTATCTTGGATCGATCCCCCCCCCCGACCCCAGTGTAGACCAGCCCTTAGTCACTGATCCACCTCCAACACAAGTTCATATAATTTTAAAAAATCAGAAATGACATTGTGGCAAAGAAAATGTCGCTGGTCTGTGCTTATCTCTACCAGCACCAGGGATAACTTCTCAGAGCCCTCCTTGTTTTTAAGATGTCAGCACATGACCGTCAAGCAGAAATCTCCAACTTACACCTGTTCCTCAGAGAGCCCATCCCCAGTACCACCGCTCCATGATCGTCTGCACATGGTAATCACAAGCTCACCTCTCACAAAAACTCATCCCTCTCTCCCTTTTAAGTTTAATACCTCCTGTTTTTTTAAATAACCATTCAATTGCAAAGATAAAGTACCGCATAGTGTTTGCTGTACGATAAGTGCACTGTTCAACACAATTAGTAGGAGATAAGGACTCAGTTTTCCAGTTATCAAATGTGATTGTAAAACCCCACAGATCTTTCCCCTATTCTCTTCAGTTATTAAATATTGAGATAAAAGCCAGTCACTGGTCCCTTCCCCACGGCCATGGGGGGAGGGGAATTAGCACTTTCTAATTATTTATCAAAGAATGAGCCAAAATCCCCTTGTATTTTACCCTTTTTCTCCCTGATCATCAAAACATTGATATAAAATCCCACCTCCATTCCCCTGCCTGCCCAGCCCCCAATTTGAAATGCAGGAACTTCTGGTTTGGGAGGGAAAATTGTTGTCTGGGCTCCCCAGCCAGGAGCGGCGCCAGGGTTTTTGGCGCCCTAGGCGGGGGTCCTTCCGCGCTCCCGGTCGTCGTTGTCAATTCTGCGGTGGGGGGTCCTTCCGCATTCCCGGTCTTCGGGGCACTTCGGTGGCGGGTCCCGGAGCAAGTGAAGGACCCACCGCAGAATTGCTGCCAAAGACCTGGAGCGCGGAAGGACCCCCCGCCGCCGAATTGCCGCCAAGGGCGGCAAAATGCCGCCCCCCCCCCCAATCCTGGTGCCCTAGGCAACCGCTTAGGTCGCCTAAATGGAAGCGCCGGCCCTGTCCCCAGCCCAAGTGGGCTGATAGTTACAGCCTGCACAATGATCAGCTCTCCTCTCACATGTGATTATAACATTGCATCCCCTTTTACGTCAAACAGAAGCGGAGAGATTTGCTGATTAGGGTCTGCACGGGCAAGGGTGTGCCCTGGCAGTGCTCATCCGCAATCTAATCTTTTGTTGCTGATGTAGGACTTATGATCTCCTTGACGTTACATGTCCTGGCTCTCCAGGCCTTGGATTTTATGGGACAGGCCAGGAAGCTGTCACTTAGCAAATATAACTGGCTTTTGAAACAAAACATTTACTTTGTGAGGAATTCAGAGTCTCTTGGGAAACAACTGGAAGACTAGGGAGCAGAAAAGTTTTCACAGGAGCCGTATTTTCAAAAATGTGGGGCACGTCCATGTGTTTGTGTGTGCCCCAACAAACCCCACACAACCAGGTCAGTAGGTTTCATAGTGGCAAAGAAAATCTGTAAAATGTGACCCAGGTGTGACTGATACAGATGCATTGCTCTGAGTTTGCAGAACACCTGAGACAAAGGCACGAGCTGTCCTGTGCATTTCAGTGGGTGCTGACTCAGAGGCCACTGCTGATGATTAAAAGTCAACATCAAAACGTTAGAATCCCTGAAAGTCTCCTTTGAGACATCTCTTTTCTAGGGTTCCCTCAGAAATTGTGACTGCTTGTTTCCTGATGGGAGGCGCCAGGTCTAAAGTGTCCAAACACTTTCCCAGCATCACAGATGTTCTGTCTGCAGGGAGAGATCCGGGGGCGGGGGATCACGGTGTGAAATAGACTAAAGCCCCTTCTGAAATTGGCCTCTTTTCCCTTGTTACCCTGACAGGCTGCAGAACAACATCCACATTTCACTCCAGATCGTCCCATCCTCCCAGGAGATGGGAAAAATGACATGGCTGCAGCGGAGCTGGTGACCTTTGAGGAGGTGGCTGTGTATTTCACTGAGGAAGAATGGGCTCTGCTGAACCCAGGTCAGAGAGCCCTCTACAGGGCCATCATGCAGGAGAACTATGAGACTGTGACCTCACTGGGTAAAGGATTCCTGTCCTCTCAGGTATTAGAAATTGTAGGGCCTCTAAAATGCCCAGGTTTTGCTTCTGTTCTGGATTTTTCCTTGGTCCTTTTCCAGCTAGTTTCACAAGTTTGTAGATGAAAAGCAATGAAGCTGGCAGAACCTTGTCTACACTACAGCTGCTACTGGTTCAGCTGAACTGATGGGAGGGTTCGTTTCTTCCAACATTCCCTAGTGAAAAGACTGCCTTAAATCTCAGGAGGTTCAGACCCTCTAGTTCCCAGAGACCATGTGAAAAGGACTGGCCCCTCCACACCTCCTGTGGGACAGGAAATTCTGAGACACAATAGAGATGCTAACCTACCCTCAGGTTTTCAAGAGGGAAGAAGATGTTGATGATTCACAATCACTAAAATGCATAAAATCTCTCTCTTGCGAGCAGTGGCACAGAAGGCAGCGAACAGGGCTGCTAACAGGGGAGTTTAAGTGGGAGTTTACAGGGGGAGGTGAAAGGGGAGGCAGGAGGGCGAGGTGCCCTGTGTGCTGTGTTTCCCCAGGTGCAGAGGGCACAGCTGAGTAGGCAGGCGCAGACAACAGCAGCCATGAGCCAAGCAACAGGGGACACAATGCAGATGATCGCATGCGGCAGCTGCGGTATGTACATGGTCCTAGCAACGGTGCCTGAACAGAGGTATGTGTGCATGAAATGCCGCCTAATAGAGCTGCTGGAGGAAAAGATCCGAGGGTTGGAGATGCAGGTAGATAGCCTGATAGAGTTTAGAAGGGAGTTCGAGCAGCTGATGGAGCAAAGGCAAGGAGTGGCTGAAGGGGAATACTCAGGGGTACAGGTGGAAGCAGGGGCAAAGACCTGTGAGGGGGGAATGCCGGGGGGAGAACAAGGGCAGTGGAAGCATGTGACCGTGAGAAGCAGGCCAAGGAAAAGGAGGGGTAGTGAAGGAGAAATAGAGCTCAGGAACAGGTTTGGGAGTTTGGAAAACAAGGAAGGGGTGCAGCAGGTGGTAACTGAAGTGGGCAGGGTGAGGAAAAAGAGAAGAGAGGCTAGTCCCGTAGAAAGAGGGGAGGAGTTGATGGAGACAGCACCAAATCTGGGCCCTGGGAGGATACAGGATGGCATAAGGGAAAATAGGAATGGACAGGGGTTGCAACTAGAGGGAACAGGGGATAGATTAGTTTCAGAGTAGCAGCCGTGTTAGTCTGTGGGTACGTCTACACTTACCTCCGGGTCCGGCGGCAGGCAATCGATGTTCTGGGGTCGATTTATCGCGTCTGGTCTAGACGCGATAAATCGATCCCGGATCGATCCCGGAAGTGCTCGCCGTCGACGCCGGTACTCCAGCTCGGCGAGAGGAGTACGCGGCATCGACGGGGGAGCCTCCCTGCCGCGTCTGGACCCGCGGTAAGTTCGGACTAAGGTACTTTGAATTCAGCTACGTTATTATATATTATATAATTTGCGTACCTTAGTCCGAAGTGGGGGGGTTAGTGTGGACCAGGCCTGAATCCGCAAAAAGAACAGGAGTACTTGT